GGAAAATTTTGGGACACAAAAAAACCTAACTGAAATGTTCACAGCTACTTTATTGAAAATCACCTAAAACTGAAAACAATTGACCTGTCCTTCAGCTGGCGAGTGGGTGAACAAACTATGATCTATCCACCCAAGACAGTTATACTCAGCGGTGAAGAGACACTACTGATATGTGTGGTAATATGCATGGATGCATTATGCTAAGGGTATAGAGCTGGATTCAAAAAGCTGTGTACAGTGTGATTCCATTTAGATGACATTCTGAAAAAGGCAAAACTATAGGGATAGGGAACAGACCAGTGGCTATCAGTGGTGAAGAAGGGTTGACTGCGGAAGGGGGGCAAGAAGGAATGTTTTGGGGTGATAGAACTGGCCTGCCTCTCGATTATGATGGTGGCTACATGATTGTTCATTTATCAAATTCATAGAAATGGATAGGGACACCTGGGTGGCCCAGGAGTTGAGTGTCTGCTCAGGTGTAATCCTGGGGTCCAGGGATCAACTCCGCATTGGGCTCCCCAGAGGGAGCCTGCTTCTCTCTCTGCCTGTGTCTCTGCCTCTCCCTCTGTGTCCCTCATGAATAAATAAATAAAATCTAAAACAAAACAAAACTGGAAAACTGAAAAGATAAGAAATTACTAACTTAATTTGAAAAAATAAATCAAGGTTGTTTAGCTGTTAAAAGTAGCCTTATTAGCCTGCAGTGATTTGTGATGTGCTCATATTCACACGTGTAGTGAGCAGAAAAAGAGGAATCAAGGGCGAGCGGCATGAATATCTGGATGGCTGGCAGTGTATCATTTGCTGAAACAGGAGCATTAAAGGAAAAACAAGAGTTTTATTTGGTAGCAGAGCAAGAAATCAAAAGTTCCATTTTGTTTTTGTAAGTTCCATTTTGGACACGATACTTTGAGATGCCCATTAGACACCCCTGTGAAGATGTAAACAGGCAGGTGGAGATGCGTTTCTGGAGCTCTAGAGAGAAAACAGGCCATGTTTCAGAGACAGTGGCATAGAGATGGTGCTTGAAGTCGTGGAAATACACGAGTCAGCCTAGAAAGAACCTGTAGCCAGAGAACAGAACCGACAACCACTAGTTAGGGTATTAGCTCCACCTTTGGGAGCTAGTCAGGGAGTCAATAAAGAAAACTGAAGGAGAGCCAATGAAGTGGGAAAGAAACTAGCACATGTAGTGATGAGGAAGACAATGGAAAAAGTTCTTCAAGGGAAGAGGATGATCAACTGTATGGGAGGATTTAGACAGTTCAAGTAAGAGGACAGAGGAGTGCCTATTAGATTTGGCGAGACAGATGACTGACTGGCATAGCTTGTGTGGACTTTGGGGGCAGGAAGTTTGGGGTGAGGAAGTGGAGATAGTTGCTATAGTCCATTCTTTGGAGAATGAGGACAGAGGAATAACAGTGCAACTGGAGAGGCATGTTGGGGTCAAGGTAGGGTTTTTTTTTTTTTAGATGGGGAAGATGGGTGTGCTGATAAAATCACCCATGGAGTAAGGTGAGAGAACACCATGAGGAGGGCCGGAGAAAAGGGATAGATAATTACAGGAGTTCTGTCCTTGAAAGAGAGAAGGCTAGGCTCTAGAGCCACATGACAGGTTGGCCTTGGATTGGTTACAACAGAACAACTGCCAGTGCTCCTAAGGGGAAGGTAGAGGCGCAGGTGGGTGGGGAGATTCAGGAGTGAGGAGAGGACATGCATGGAGTTCCCTCTGTGTTGGTTTTCTCCAAGAAAACTGAAGGTAGGGGTCAAGTGCAAGGAGTAGATTAGACTGCTAGAGATTTGAAAAGAGCCAGAAAAGGAGTACAACGGGTTTTAGAGGCTGAAGAAAGGCGTATTGCAAAAAATGGAGAGAGAAATGAGTGGATCACACACCCTTTATATAAAGCAAGGTCACAGTGCATGTGCACACACACACACACACACACACACCAAGCAAGGGGTAAAAGACTGACCCCACAGTTAATGAAGTGGAGAAGGATGTGAACCACAGTGATTAGGCTAAACTCAAACAGAAGAATCTACGCCAAAAAAAAAAAAAAAAAGGAAGAATCTACGCCTGAAGAAACTGCATTTTAAGCTGAGGAGAGGGGGGCTCTGGAGCAGCTGGCTCTACCCAGGATTAGATCCTACCCATAGTCCAGTTTCCTCTGTAGGCTGAAGACCACTCCATTGGAATCACATTGCAATCAGCCTCTTCCCCCACTGATGTGATGTTCAGGAGCAGTGTGAGTGAAGGGCAGTATTTCTACAACCAGTTGTCAAAAAGGAGAGTGAAGTCACGGCAGAGGCATCCCGAGAAGTCCAAGCAAAAGCAAGGGGTCTGAGCTTTCATAGAGAAGAGCTAAAATTCTTCAGTGTAATTGCTGTCAGTCGTGTAAGCAACAGAGCCATAACTGCAAATGCCAGGTGCGTGGCGTTCTTAATGCTGATGTAAGAAAGCACCACACACTTACCAGTTTTAAACACCATAAGTCTATCATCCTAAAATTCTGGAGGTTGGCAGTCTAAATGAGGTGGCAGGGCTTCTGGAGGCCCCAGGGGAGAATACATGCCTTGCCTTTTCCAGCTTCTGCAAGCCACCTACATTCTTTGGCTTATGGCCCCTTCTACATCTGCAAAGCCAGCACTAGAGCACTTGCAGATCTCTCTCCAAGCTGACCTCTGACCTCCCTCATCGCATCTCCTTCTTTCTTTCTCCTATGAAAAGGCTCTTCTACTCATGTGGGTCGGGCCCCGCCCTAGGACATAATCACTCTACCTCAAGATCCTAACCTGAATCCCACTTGCAAGGTCCCTTTGACATGTCGGGTAACATAGTGACAGGTTTGGGCACGGGGATAGGACCTCCTTGGGCAGGGAGGGAGGTCTGTTCTGGCGCAAGAAGCCTCCTGCGCTATCCGCTACTGTCATGTAGTCCTGCGCCATAGTCTGATGTCGAGAGCACTGCATTCGCTTCACTAGGCCCTCGAAAGCTTTTCTCCATCCAATGCGTAAAGTGATAGAATCTAGAGGTTTGAAAAAAGATATTCTTTATAAGAAGATCTCAGATGAAATGTGAAGTGAACAAGGTATGTTTTTTTCTGTTCCATCGTAGAAGTGTTTCTGTGTTTTGCATATTTGAGACTTTTGAACTTCTGATACATAAAACCCTGAGGGTAGACGTCCTCTCCTAAGGTTTATGATGTGGTTAGTTTACCACTCCACATGACCCGCGTGTATTAAATACGCAGGTAATGTTGATTGACCTAAGACTGATAGAGCATGTCATTGACGCTTATATCCTTTGTCCACACAGTCTGTGTTTATGAGTAAGTGTGCCATAGACGTGAGGCTGGCTGTGGCATACGATTCTGCGGCCGATCCTGGTGGAGAAGATTCTGATATGTAACTTCATCTTTGTGACCCTGAGGAAATCACCCTCAGAGTCTCACTTGGCTCCCATGTAAATAATAAGTACACTGCTCTCCTGGGATGGGGTGTAAAATACCTGACTTCTGTTCACAAAAGGCCTTATAAATGCCAAGTATTGCCAGAAACTACAATTGTGCCTCATGTAATTCATCTATGTCTCTATAAATTTGCTCTGTTTTCAAATAGATGTGGTATCCTTCATTATTTGTCATTTAGAATGTTTGAATATAGCTTTCAACCATTTTATATTCTTTCAAATATTGGCTCCCTTTTGGTTTTTAAGGAGATTTCTGTTTGTATCCCATTACACTTGTTTTTGCTATAGTAAAAACACTATTTGAAAATTTAAAATTCTCTTGATCTATTTTGTAACATGTGCATATGGAGAGATACTACACTGTCATTTAATACTTGTACTGGTCAAGGTGCTGGCAGGAAACCACTCTCACAAGGAATCACTAAAGAGTCACATGGAAACAGTGAAAAGAAACCAATAGGGAAGGATACAGCACCTAGGAGCTACTAGCAGGAGAGCATCTTCTGCCACAAAGGGCACCAGGAGGGAGGGCTTGCCAGAGCTGACAATAGCTATGGCTGTCAGAGCAGGTCCCGGCGGATGAGCACACCCACTGCCAAATCTGCACACAGCCAAGGGAAGGGAGAACTCCGCTCCCACCCTCCCAGGCCCAGGGGAAGCCAATGGGCAAGGGAGCCAGGTGATTGCCCTCCACAGCAATCCATTTCCCGTCACTTCTAGGGTGGAGAGAAGGGGGGCAGGATCTAGAGGAGCAAACAGAACATGCCCCAGCACAGAGGTCTGTTGGAAAAAGCATTACAAATTAATTTATCATGGCCTTTAGAATTCGGTTGTATGGAAACACACATGTACCCCCATCCCTAAGTCCTGAGCCCTCCAGTTTCTTTCTCTCACCACTGCAGTCAGTGGTTGTAAAGTTGAGCTGGTCACTGTGGCTAATGCCTAGATTGGCTTGTTCTTCTGTGGGTATTAAGACTTAGCTAAGGGGGATCCCTGGGTGGCTCAGCGGTTTGGTGCCTGCCTTTGGCCCAGGGCACGATCCTAGAGCCCCAGGATTGAGTCCCACATCGTGCTCCCAGCATGGAGCCTACCTCTCCCTCCTCCTGTGTCTCTGCCTCTCTCTCTCTCTCTCTCTCTCTCTCTCTCTCGCTCTCTCTCTCTCTGTATCTATCATAAATAAATAAATAAGTAAATAAATAAACAAATAAATCTTTTAAAAAAAGCCTTAAAAATAAAAAAGACTTAGCTAATACAGGGACGCCTGGATGGCTCAGTGGTTGAGTGTCTGCTCTTGGCTCAGGGCATGATCCTGGGATTGAGTCCTGCATCAGGCTCCTTGTGGGGAGCCTGTTTCTCCCTCTGCCTACGTTTCTGTGTCTCTCATGAATAAATAAATAAAATCTTTTTTAAGAAGACAGCTAATACATTTGCTGTGTAGACCCCCACAGTGATGGCAGAGAGGGGGTCCTTGCTTTCCTAGCAGGCCATCTGAGAGGCGCTCTCCTTCATTCTTCCCTTCTTTCTTTTCTAGGATGGAGCTTCAGCATGGGGTCAGCTTACCAGTTTCACAGCTGGCGTGTGTTTGTGATAGTCTGTGCGCTCCCCTGTGTCTCCTCAGTGGTGGCCCTCACGTTCATGCCTGAAAGCCCGCGGTTCTTGTTGGAGGTAACGTGGATTACTATGAATATTCAAGGGAGCCACACACATTGGAAAGAGTTCCCCGTTAATGCCAAGGAAATGTGTTGGCCTCTCTGAGAGATAACGTTTCCCCTTGCTACTAGGGAACCATGGGGTGTTGGTTTCATGGAGACATGCTTTAAACGACGAGTGTGTGAAAAAGCTGCCTCATGGCCAAAAGCACTAATGTTCCTCCTCAAGCAACTTTTCACTCAATGAAGAGACTTTGTCTTACTTTTTTATACAAAAAATGTTAGCAGCCACAGATGCTCTTTCTTGTTATAGGCACATCCATTGAACTGCTAACGTACTTAAGGCTATCCAGTGGTATACCCCATTTGCACAATTATAGCCAACTTGATCGACACCACAAGATGGATATTGGAAAATCAGGGAGTGTAAGTGTTGTGCCTTTTAGCACTTCACCATCTATTTGCATTTCTTAGGTTGGAAAACATGATGAAGCGTGGATGATCCTTAAGTTAATTCATGACACAAACATGAGAGCACGGGGTCAGCCTGAGAAAGTCTTCTCGGTGAGTACCTGCTTCTCAGTGAATCTTCTATACCAGGGGCCAGGAAACCTTTTCTGAAAAGGCCAGATTATACATTTTTCTCTCTGCACCAGCTACTCTCGTCTTTCAGTTCCTTTTATTTCTGCTGCACATGTTGTACTCACCACCTCTGTATGTGCCATTCACTCTGCATGGAACGTTCTTACATCCTCTAGTTACAAAGTTTATTCTCAATGGGGAAAGCCAATCTAAATTAATGGAAGTTTTTGGAAGGAACAATGGCTTAAATGTTTTTACCTAGGCAGTCCTACAATTAAACTAATAAATGTTTTGTCTGAAATAGGTTTAGGCAGACCTACGGTAAGACATAGGGAGGCATAAAAAAGATCTTCAGTGTCTTATAAATAAAATCGACTATAGGTGTTAAAACATATTAAACAATCCACTGACATGTGATTTACTTATTTCATTTTTTATTTAGGAGACAAATTTTTCATAATGTACATATAGACTTCAGTTTGGCCTTTATCTAAATTATCACACATTCTTCATTAGCAAAGTTTTTTGTGCAATGTATGGAGATATGAATATCAGTAATGAATGGCCCTCCATTGAGGACCTGGAAGCCTTTGAATAGGCCCTTCTTTTAAGCAGATGCTCATCAGAGGAAGAATTTTTTTTAAGTGAAAGGATCATAAGGCTGGAGGAATCTTGAGGCATCATCCAAATACTCAATGTCACTCAACCCTTCTTAGCCAGATGAGTATAAACCCTATAACAAAGGGATTTTCTGAGAAAATGAGAATCTCCAGGGCCTCACCATGCTACTCACTTGCTTTTTCTTCCAGAAGGTTTGAGTTACCAAATTCACATACGGTCATCCATGTTTTTTAGTAGATAAGGTGAGAACAGGAGGGAATACCCCCAAAATAATAGGTAACCTCAGAGTCATTTATTGGGTGACTTTCAAAGTCATTACATGATCCTGTCATGACAAATTTGTCTTTTTCCTTGTTATGCCTATAATACAACGAATCTGCATGCATTGCTCCAAAGCCTCCTTTTTAGACCCTTCTTCTTATGCCCTTACCTTAAATAATGTTTTCCACAACTCTATTTTTTTAGCTAATTCTCTTTTAACCTCGTATGCTTTCCTTAGCTGACTCCCATTCTCTATCTCCTAATGGACAATTCTTCTGAGCTCCAGACATACATGTTGAAGGGATTTGTGGAAGTCCTTCTATGTCCTTTCAAATCTGAGTTTCCTTTTTTAAAAAAAATATTTTATTTATTTATTTGAGACAGAGAGAGTGAGAGAGAACAAGCAGGGGGAGCTGCAGAAGGAGAGGAAGAGGGAGAAGCAGGCAACCCTCTGAGCAGGGAGCCCGACACAGGACTTGATCCCAGGACCCTGGGATCATGACCTGAGCCGAAGGCAGATGCTCAACCGACTGAGCCACCCAGGTGCCCCTCAAATCTTAGTTTCTAAGTCTGAACTTACCACCTCGAGTCTTCAAGCATCTTCTTTTTACTAAATTCTACCAGAAAATACCACCAAACTGGAAACCTTAAAACTACTCTATTTCTTTCTTCCCTTTATTCCCATAATATTCAAGAAATCACTCTGTCTTATTATTTGCATCCTAAATATCACTGCACATTGCTCTTTACTTTTGACCCTACTGCCACTGATTTCTTTTGGTCCTCATCACTCACTGCCCTCTGCCCTTGAACTATTCTTCAGGAATCTCAAACTCTTTGTAGTTGGCCAATATTTTGTTTTCTCTCACAGCTCAGGATGTTTGCACATGGTGTCTCTCACTCTTAGAATGGCCTCCAAGTGGTTTACATACATGGCAAATAACATACTTTTCCATGAGCCCCAGCTCCAATTTAGTCCATGAAGGCTTCTCTCATTCCCAAGTCAACTTGGGTATTCTGTAAAATATATCTCTCCCATCCAATATAGATCTCTATTAGAGATTTTTTTCTTTGTATGGTAATTGCTTAGAGGATGTGATATTTTATGTGTGCATCTCTGTAGTCTAGTGCTGGACCTAGTACCCAGGGGATGCTTGTGGATGAATAAACAAATATTGATGAATAGAAAAGAGGAAGCCTCCCAAAAGTAATATGTTGAGTGATAAGAACACCTCTGTGATTTAAAAAAAATCTAGAGTATTACAAAATAATGCCTACATGGATTATTTTGAGCTGACTCTATTGGGAATCCCACACTTAACTCAGACATGATTTTCATTAAATACATGCCTCTTTGCTTACATAGCCAGGAACAGGCTACCGCTTACTTTGTATAATTTGGAAGTTGCTGAGAGTCCCCAAATCAGCACTGTCAAAAAGACAACCTTGGTACCTGGATTCTCACAATAGAAGCGCTGTTTTGGATGTGGGCAGAGCACCAGAAAAAGGTGTTCAAAAGTTATCCCTGGCAGGGGTGACACTGGGGCAGATTTCTGTGTCCTCTCTCAAAAGCTAAGTAAACTTTGACTAACAGGAGAAGATGGGACAAGTCCACAAAAGGAACCATTGTTTTTTTATTTTTATTTTTTCTCTTTTCAGGCTTCATTCTCTGTGTTGAAAGCATTGCCTCTGCGGTGCCTAGGTTCTTTTCCCAAGCAAAAGAGGCTCATTTAATTCCTAGATGCAGCTTTTCACAGTGAACTCCCATCATTTATTTCCCTTCTGTCACTGAAGAATCCATGTTAATGCTTGCAAAGCTCATTCCCTCGACTTTGCACCATGGTTGCCTGTGGGTTATTTGCTGACCAGCCACTGTGGGTTAGGCTACAGGAAAAGGAAGAAGGGGCCATAAAATATAAAGATAGCTTTTAAGAACACAAGTTGCATGAGGAAGCTTTAAGAACTATGTCGAGGGACCAAATTCATCGAATCAGTCGGCTCCAAAGTAAAGTATGTACAATCACTTCGGTCCAAGCAAAATAATTCTTACTCCAGAAGCTAATCTCTCTGAATGTTTTATTGGCTAATGTGTGCCTTTATGGTCATGCTTCATAGAAGGGCATTTCAGTTTCATATTATTCCATCGTTCCTGTTCTTCTTCCTTTGCTCCATGGTATTCTCTCCTATTCATTGCTCATGCAGTTCTTTTAAGTGATGTCGGGATCTGTATACTCATTCCCATGGTCTCATATAGGAATGGAATGATTATCAGATATCTGCTTACTTTTGTGGGAGTTGGGTTTTGCTCCCTTAAAAACAAACCCTAGGCCTTCAGAGAAGAGAACTCAGCACTGTGCACTGTGTTGCTCTTTACAGGTAAACAGAATCAAAACCCCAAAACAAATAGATGAATTGATTGAAATTGAGAGTGACACAGGAACATGGTACAGGAGATGTTTTGTTCGGATCCGCACAGAACTCTATGGAGTAAGTAACCAACCTGCCCTGACTGCCGGCCAACTTGTTGCATTTTAAGTTGGTCAGAGGCAGGGTTGATTGTCACAGTTCCCTGCTGTCCAGGACACCTGATTCCTGCACGAGGACCAGGTAAAAGGACCCCCCTGGGAAGAGTGGCCTAGCCAAGACATTCCATCTTTGGGAAGGGAAGGTGCTAGGCGAGGGGTCTTGGCAGGGGCGGAGCACACTGAGGTTTTTGGCTACTCTGTCCATCGGCTTCCAGGAAGCTACAAAGTGAAACTTGCAGGATTTGGTTTCTGATAGCCTTCAGCCTTTACATTGTAAGTTCGAATGAATCTGGCTGAAAGAAAACTCAGGGTTGTTTTTATAACTGGTGAAGGGGATTGGGGAGTGGGGTCACTGGATAGCCGCACAAGAAAACTAACTCTTCAATATTTCACAGATTTGGTTGACTTTCATGAGATGTTTCAACTACCCCGTCAGGGAAAATACAATAAAGCTTACAATTGTTTGGTTCACCCTGTCCTTCGGGTAAGTAATATTTAAGTTCTCGGGGAGTGAAATCTTTACATTTCCACCCAGTCACATGGCTTTCCTTTCTTACGCTGTTTGACGCTGTTAAGATGTCAGGAAAGATTTTTTCTTCAGTTTAGGTTTCCTGACCATTATAGTTTTATAAGCGACTTACCTTAGTTCGTCATAACGCTGGGTGGTGAAACCCATAATCCTTGGAAAGCCCCATGGGGTTTGGCCACTGCCTTGGCACTGCCTCCAGACACTGGGCAGCTCATTTCCTCACCTCGTCGGAGGCTTTGCCCAGATGTCACCCTCTCAGAGTCACTGCCCTCAGCCCTCTCTGCCCCCTTCTCAGCCTTATGAGTCCTTCAGAGCACCTTCCACCTTCTTTATTCTGTAGAGAATAAAGCTGTGTCTCCCCCTCTGTGGGAGCTCTGTGAGAACAGGATTTTAAACTGTTTTGTTCACTGCTGTGTGCCCCTGGCACGTGGTAAGCACTCAATAAGGCATTACTAAATGAATAAAACCACCATATATGTGGTGGTTTTCCTTTTCTAAGGAAAGAGGAGGTAGGAAGAACATATCGGGATTTTATTTGTTAACAGCTTTAGAATATTTGTGTCCAACTCTAGTTTGCGTAATTTACCGTTTTTTTTTTTCAAAGGGGCAGTTAGGTAATACCCTACACTTTCAGTTCAGTAGGCTCTTAATGCCCTAGTAGAGCCCAGCATCTACATTGCAGGTTCCATCTGGAAACATCCCTAAATTAAAATGGGAGAGTGGTTAAAGATGCCTGATCTTCCACAGTGCCATGAGATGTAGTAAAGGGGAAGACCAGGAAAGTGTGGATCAGGAGACCTAATACCTCATTATGCTCTGTGACTTGGAGATGCTACCAAGTTCTCTTTCCTGATTTCTGACTTAAGAGGGTTGATTGAGAATATGTAAAGTAACTCCCACTTAAGCTCTAAAACATGCATTAATCAATGAAGGCAGAGAAGGCTGAAAATGAACATGTATTAGTGCCCACTACATGCTAAACACTCAGCTGGGTACAAAGATAAGCCACTCGGAAGTTCTCCCCTTGATGTGGAGACTTACCTCATAATACCTGGTTTGCCACATTTCGTTATTTATTACTGACCACATTTTAAGCTTTATGGTTTCCTTGTAATATCCCTGAAATGTCAAACAGTGCCTAGCATTGGGTCGCTATTCAGTAAGTGTTCACTGAATAAATGAAAAATTAGCTGAAACTCCTCCACGTCATTGATGTCCCAGGCTAGCGTGCTTCCCTCATTGTTGCCATTTTCAAAGATTGTTGTCCTCAGTATATGCGGAGAGAGAAGTGTGATAGATGTTGCATCCCTGAATCATTTCTGATTTAGTGGCCACCATTTACACCCCCACAGTAGTTCATTCATGGTGTGTGAAAAGAAGGGGCTGGAGATCTATGGAATCCTGAGGCAGAGATGTTTTAGAAATCCTGATGATAGTGATGATGATAAACACTGAATAGTCTTTTGAGCACTCACTATGTGCACTTTGCAATTTGCATCCCGTTTAACCAGAGTAAGGAAAGGGGGCATTGTCATCACTCTGGTATTAGAGGTGGGGCACCTCAAGCTGACATGAGTGCATCTGAAGCATCACCTGAGGGTGCCTGGGTGGCTCAGTTGGTTAAGCGTCTGCCTTCCACTCAGGTCATGATTCTGGTGTCCTGGGATTGAGCCCCCCGGCTCCCTGATCAGCAGAGAGTCTGCTTCTCCCTCTCCCCACCCCACTTGTGTTCTCTCTCTCTCTCTTTCTCTCTCTCCTCACTCTCAAATAAATAAATAAATCTTAAAAAAGAAGAAAAATCACCCAAAGGACTCCATTGCCAGAATTTCTGATGCAGGCGTTCTGGGTAGCATCTGAGACTTTGCATTTGTAACAAGTTTCAGGTGATGCTGATGCTGCTATTCCAAAGACCCTACTTTGGGAACCACCAACTTAGAGCAGTACTCTCTAATAGAAATAAAATGTGAGCTGCATATGTCATTTTAAATCTCCTAGCGGCCACACTAAAGAAAATAAAAGGAAACAGATGAAATTAATTTTAATAATGTATATTATTTAACTTATGTTCAAAATAGTGTAGTTTCAACATTTAATCAATATAAAAGTGATTATGACTTAATATTACATTGTTTTTTTTCTTAAGTCCCCAAATTTGGTATTTTAAACTTAGAGCACATCTCATTTGGACGAGCCACATTTCTTTTTTTTTTTTTAAGTTTCTATTCAATTCCAGTTAGTTAACATGCAATATAAAATTAGTTTCAGGTGTACAACATAGTGATCCCACACTTCTATACAATACCCGATGCTCATCACAACAAGCACGCTCCTTCATCCCCATCACCTATTTCACCTGTCCTCTGCCCCCTCCCCTCTGGCAACCATCAGTTTGTTCTCTATAGTTAAGGGTCTGTTTCTTAGTTCGTATCTTTCTCTGTTTTTTTGCTTTGCTCATTTGTTTTTTAAATTCCATGCAAGTGAAATCATATACTGTTTGTCTTTCTCTGACTTATTTCACTTAGCATAATACACTCTAGCTCTATCCACATTGTTGCAAATGGCAAGATTTCATTCTTTTTTATGGCCAAGTAATATTCCATGTACGTGTGTGTGTATACACACACACACACACACACACACACACACATACACACACCCGTATCTTCTTTTCCATTCATCAGTTGATAGACACTTGGGCTGCTTCCACAGTTTAGCTATTATAGATAATGCTGCTATAAATATCAGGGTGCATGTTTCCCTTTGAATTAGTACTTTTGTATTATGTGGGTAAATACTCCAATTGCTGGATCATAGGCATTATTTTTCCAAAGAAGACCTACAAATGGCCAACAGACACATGAAAATGTACTGTCACTGATCATCAGGGAATGCAAATCAAAACTACAATGAGATATCACCTCAAAGCTGTTAGAATGGCTAAAATCAGCATAAGAAACAACAGATGTTGGCGAGGATATGGAGAAAGGGGAACCCTCCTACTCTTGGTAAGATTGCAAATTGGAGCAGCTGTTGGTGAAAAACTACATAGAGGTTCCTCAAAAAGCTAAAAATAGAGCTACCCCATGATGCAGCGATTGCACTTGCCACATTTCACCTGCTCAGGAGCCACATGTGGTTACTACACAGCACAGCAGCACGACTGAGCTGTTGCCTGCTAGAAAAATACATTAGAGGGTAAGGCAGAAAGTGGAAATAACCTAGATTTTCAGATAATAACCTGAATAACACTCTTCCCAGCCTTGAACCACTTGAGAAATGGGTCTCTGCCCTTGAGCTAAGAGTATCACAGTAGTGTAGGAACCAAGAAATATTCCCTATTAGTAAAGAGGTCATTCTTTAATGACACAGTTCTTGGACACCAGGAGTTTGTACCAGCAGACTAGGAGATGGGGTTCCTCAGGAAGCCTGGGTTAAAGAGAAAAACATCAGGGCCAGGAAGCCTTGTGTTGAGAGAGAATGCAGGTCCCTTCCCAAAGGCGGAGTGCAGGAATCGCATACCTGGAGTTTCCCGGGCCATCTCTCCAGCGTGATTTTTGCAAACTTCAGCATGGGACAGAGGGGGCAGTACAGATTACTGTTGGGCGATTCCTAATATTGCAGGGAGCCAGTCAGAATCAGAAGTGTTTCTCCAGGAACTACTACCTCTCTGAAGATGTCAGGGGGGCAGTCACTGGCACCAGTGTGCTGGTACCTTTACGTACTCACATTTCTTTTCTTTGCAGGTACTATGGCTTATCTGTGTGGTTCCCTGATGTCATTAAACATCTGCAGTCGAATGTGTTGCCAATTCAAAAGATAGAGAGAGAGAAAATTTCAAACTTCAGTGTTAACTTTACAATGGCAAATCAGCTTCACCTTGGAGCGGAATACGAGAATGGCAGGTCCAGAAGCTTTGACATAACTTACTTTGCTGTGTGTTCTGAGAAATGTATTTCTTCTTAACCTTCGTTGTACAGAAGCATGCAGAGTTGTTTGGTTGTTTTGGTTGAGTCTGTACGTTAGTCATTCTCAAACTGAAACTGAACACTCCCAAATGGGCTTTAAAAAGGTACATGTGTATCAGTACTTGACTTAAAACCACTTCTGAAATAGCCATTTCACGTTTGTTAAATAGTGGAATTGACTACTATAAAAAAAAATTTAGAGAGACACTGGAGAGGCCACAGAAACAAGACATAGAAGAGTGAGGAGTACGAGGAAACAAGTTGGGTTATAGTGTTAGTTAATCCAGAGAAGAAATCCAAGTGTGATTTGATGCCTGCCTCCCTCCCCTGAAAGAGGGGACAGCTTTTCAGAAGCCCTTCCTTCTCCACTAGGCTGGTCAAGAATTGGCATCATCTTGTATCAGGAGGACTTGTCACCACAGAACAGGAATGATTCCCCAAAGTGCAGGGCTTTGAAAATATGAAATAAGTTAGCAAAGGACATTTTTGAAGATGGCATCTGGAATGCATCTTGACAAGGAGAGAGAATGGGCTCAGGAAGGCAGTTCCGATACATTCTTTCAGGGCAGATAAAGGATAGACGAGGCCATTTGTTTCTCTCGATTAGCTGTTGTCTGAACAAATAATGGCTGGTGTGATGGTTTGCATCTTTCTTAGGAAATTGTCCCGGATGCAGAAATGGTAAAAGTAAAAATTTTTAAAAAACTGAACAAAGTTCTCCAGGGGAAAACCACTTGGAAGGCTGAAAAAGAATTCTGTAGGATACTTTTGGTTTATATAACGAAAGGGAGAATTAGGAAGTAGAAGAAATTGTTTAAATTGGCAATCCCGAGGGGCCTAATCCTTATGCAAGCCATGTAGGATCACCATCCCTCTCCCACATGAAACACCAACCCAAGTCTGCACTTGTTTTTCCATGGAAACCTTAGAATCACGTGCTCTTGTAATTGCAGGGTAAAAATTTACCTCCTTTATTTTTTAAAGTATTGTTGCTACATTAGAAATGCCTGAGCTATTTGTGCCTCTGACATATTTTAAATGATGCTTGTTAAAGTTCTAAGCTGATTATTCAGTCACCACTAGTAGCTGTTTTACATTAGCAATATAAAGATTAGTCATTTGAATAGTATCAGAATCTCGGTAAAACATATATATTTATTTGGAAGGTTATCGAACTTTTATTGCTGATTATCGATCCATGTCTCCTGGAAGTCCTTCTCATACAAGCAGATCTGAGTTGTAGGCTCTTTTAAGGTGTTAGGATCATCATGACTGTTACCATCCTCACCATCTAGAATCCCCCACCTGGCAGCACCCAAAAGGTTTCATCATTGTACATTGTACATTTTTCTAAAAATAAGCAGAGCTCTCTCATTGCTCTGCTTGGTTCAAGGAATACCTGTTGGCTGTGAGAAAAAAACATTCATGGGAATGAGAGTGGCCTGTGAGCTGCTTTCTTTCTGTGAGCCCGGAGTCAATCGTTTCTCACATAAATGAAGCAGAATTCTCATGTTCTCTCTTCAGAATAACTGGGAATCTCTATATGAAAATGAAGAAACCTTGAGTTTTTAGCTTAGGAAACAGACTTTCATTAAAAATGAGGTTGGGAGGGGCAGCCCCGGTGGCCCAGAGATTTTAGCGCCGCCTTCGGCCCGGGGAATGATCCTGGAGACCGGATCGAGTCCCACGTCGGGCTCCCTGCATGGAGCCTGCTTCTCCCTCTGCCTGGGTCTCTCTCTCTCTCTCAGTAGCCATCAGTCTCCAAACTCTCTACCTTCAATAGCATACTCTACAAAATCTGTTACCAACATTGCAAAAGCTAAGTGAAGTTACCATGATTGCCATCTCTTCTGCTGGAAAATAATATCAGTGAGCCAAGAGATAACCAAAGGACAGGCTGCATGAGGAAGAGTGAGGAAAGCTAAGAGCTTAGAAGATCCAGAGGCCCTGCTTGTCGGAGCCTCCATAGTAGGGCATCAGATCTCTAAACCTGTTTGACTTCGCTTCAAATCGTAATGGACACAGTCATTGATAAGAATTTGTGTGTGTGTGTGTGTGTTTTGGGCAGATTTCTAGGGATGAAGTTCAAATCGATAACTTTCAAAGATTCAGTTTTTAAGGCCTGTACCTTTGAGGATGTGACTTCAGTCAACACCTACTTCAAGAACTGCACATTTGTTAACACCATTTTTGACAACACAGGTAAGTGTGCTACTTAGCCCTGTCTGGGGCCTCTTCAAATGGCCCAGTTCTTGGCGGAAATGAGATACCCCTGTGATAGTGGAGGCAGAGGCTTAGGGGGACAGTGGAAATTAAAGGAATGGATATCCGGGGATCCCGGGTGGCTCAGCGGTTTAGCGCCTGCCTTTGGCCCAGGGCGCAATCCTGGAGTCCCGGGATCAAGTCCCACGTCGGGCTCCCAGCATGGAGCCTGCTTCTCCCTCCTCTGGTGTCTCTGCCTCTCTCTCTCTCTATGTCTAAAATAAATAAATAAATAAATAAATAATAAATAAATAAATAAATAAATAAATAAATCTTAAACAAAATTTTTTTAAAAAAGGGAATGGGTTTACTTAATCAGATTGGATCATAGTTAAGCTTTTATTATTTGTCTCTGTTAGATTTAATGCAAATAGGACTTGCTGAAGTTCCAAGTTAAACACAAAATCCTTGGGGCGCCTAAGTGGCTCACTCAGTTGAGTGTCTGGCTCTTGATATTGGCTCAGATCATGATCCCAGGGTCTTGAGATCAAGCCTGGTGTCAGACTCCACACTGAGCATGGAGCCTGCTTAAGATTCTCTTTCTCTCCTTCTGCTCCACCCCCACCCACCCTGCTCACATGTGTGCACACTTTCTCTCTCTAAAAAAAAAAAAAAGAAGAAGAAGAAGAAATCCTTTGAGTAATTTTTTTAAAAGATTTTATTTATCTGAGAGAGAGAGAGAGCGCACAGATGGGTGGAGCGGCAGAGGGAGAGGGAGAAATGGACTCCCCGCCAAACAAGGAGCGTGATCTTGTATCTATCTATCAAAGGCAGATACTTAAGTCACTGAGCCACCCAGCGCCCCTCCTTTGAGTCATTTTTGAAGAAAAAAATTACCCTGTAGTTTATTTTTGGGTTTTTTTTTTTTATGATCTTGGTTTCAAAATTTGATGTCCACTTAAGTGATCATGCCTGAACTGCAGTGAACAGAGATGGATAACATATGGCTATACTTACTGAGACAGTTTTTTAGTCCAATCCATGTGATGGAGTTTGGAAAACTTTCTAGGGAAAAGGATTGGGGATGGGAGGAGGGGACAACTGATTGAGCATCTACTGTCCGCTGGTTCCTACTCTCTGTCTTTAGACATTCATTATCTCATTTGGTGAGATAATAGTGGAGGCTTGAAAAAATGAAGTAATTTGGCCATGTTCTTAGACCTGGTAACAGCTAACATTTGAGCTAACATCAGTTTGATCTGATTGCAGAGCCCATGCTTTCCCACCTCTACCCTCTGGTGTGTCTGCCCTAAGTCCAAAATAACAGCCCAGCACTGGCAGGAGTATAGCGCTGCCTTGTTACCAGCCCTGCCTTCCTGGTGCTCAGATAGGAAGTAGCTCTCCCCAGCTCTAAATGACAGTGGCATTAGGTGTCTTCAAGTGTTTTTAAACAGTACTGTCACTTTCTTCTAACCCATTCTGCCTCAGAAGACCAGCTTTTTAGGTAGATCTTGATCAGCATGGACAATAACAGTTTTGATTCCCACTACCTTTTAGCAGAACCCACCGTTCATCTGCAACCCCTCCATGGATATATCCAAGTTCAAGTAAAAAAAAAAAAATCAGCAGCATATGCTAATGACCTTCTAATAAGGGCAAATCTTACTCCTTTGTGAGTTCTTCTGCTTTGACCTCAACTTCTGCATTCAGCTTCAAGGACCCAGCGAAGTCCTGTTGCTTCTCTTTGCCTCAGAGTCCCATAAAATAGCAATGATGAGATTGATTCACGCGCATTTTGAAACATACTGTTTTTGTAATCCTAGTTTGGAAGCTAGTAGTACTCTAATGATAGTACTTATGTAACATGATAATTAGAACAAAGTAACATTATAAAGGACTAAGCAAGTGATATAATTAGCACTGGCCAAACATAAGAAATCAGAAGATAACTGGACTCTTTATTCCTTTATTCAACAAAGGTATCCTTCATTCAGCTACTGTGTAATGTGAGGTTCTAGACTAGCCCCGGTGCTTGGGCCAGGACCTGAAGTCCTCAAGGAGCTTACAACACCGTGATTCTTTCCTGAATTCTTGACAAGCTTTCTTATACTGGTGCACAACCATAACGAGCTTGATGAATGGTCTTTGTGTCCACAGATTTTGAGCCATATAAATTCATTGATAGCGAATTTCAAAACTGCTCATTTTATCACAACAAGACGGGATGCCAGATTACCTTTGATGATGACTATAGTGCCTACTGGATTTATTTTGTCAACTTCCTGGGGACATTGGCAGTGTTGCCAGGGAACATTGTGTCTGCTCTGCTGATGGACAGAATTGGGCGCTTAACGATGCTAGGTATGTACTTGGTTTCACGTAAAATAAAAGAGCTGCCCTTGCGATCTACAGGGAGCCTGGTTCCCACTGTACCCACTACGCCTTTTGCATCCCACAGAGATGAGGAGAAATCCCTTAAGACATTTCATTAGGGCTAAGTTTTAATGAAAATTATGTCTAATTACATTTCGTTGAGCAGCTTCCATGAGTTAACAGACTGAAGAACTAATTATGTGTGACTAATGTATATTTTTCCACTTAAGTAGCTGAGTAATTGGCGATATGCATTTCATGCTTGCTGTGTTTAGAAGGCAGTCGGAGAGGCAAGCCTTTAAACAGGTGAGCCGACCTGTACCTGAGTTTTGGAGTCCAGGCCACAGCTTCCCCTTGGGATTCAGTTTTGCTGAGAGATGTCAAAGACTCAAGGATCATTCTCTACTAAGACGATGGGAAACATTGCAGCCTTTTGTCTCTTACATTGGCAGGTGGCTCCATGGTGCTTTCAGGGATCAGCTGCTTCTTCCTGTGGTTAGGCAGCAGTGAATCCATGATGGTAGGCGTGCTGTGTCTGTATAACGGGTTGACTATCTCGGCCTGGAACTCTCTTGATGTGGTCACTGTGGAGCTGTACCCCACGGACCGGAGGTATGTTGAAGTGGGCCTCCGGGAAGAGGCACTCTAAGCTTCATGGGACCACTGAAAACTCAGAAAAATAAGCCAAGCTGTCATTTCCAAAGAAAGTGAAAATCTAAAAAAATACCTGGCTTATGAGGTTGTAGTTTTCACTCATACCTTTTAAAAAGGAAGTGTCAGGGCAGATAGTTGCTAGCAGGAATAAGTAATAAGGCAGTGGAACTTGTAAAGGAATTTTATTGTGTTCATGACTTGGTTTGTTGGATAACAACATGAGCAACCTATTGAAGTCATGAGATGTAGGACTTAAGAGCCTCTCTTGGACCACATTTTGAGCTGCTAATCAGTCCTCCGAGGGCTCTTACCTTCCTTTGCAAGTGTCTGCACAAGCTCTGTATTAAGCAACCACAGAGAAGTACCATATCTCTTGACCTTCCTGGTCTGTTGGAGGAAAACCCAACACATTTCCAGGTACAACAACAATAGCAAAGATTGCTATTAGAAGGAAATTCTGGGGGCACCTTGGTGGCTCAGTTGGTTAAGTGTCTGCTTTTATTTATTTTTTTTAAGATTATTTATTTATTTATTCATGAGAGACACACACACACACAGAGGCAGAGACACAGGCAGAGGGAGAAGCAGGCTCCATGCAGGGAGCCCGACGTGGGACTCGATCCCGGGTCTCCATGATTACGCCCTGGGCCGCAGGCAGGTGCTAAACCGCTGAGCCACCCGGGGATCCCTAAGTGTCTGCTTTTAGTTTGGATTATGATCCAGGGGTCCTGGGATTAAGCCCCAAGTCTGGCTCCCTGTACAGTGGGGAATCTGCTTCTCCCCATCCTTGCCCCTACCCCCAACTAATTTTCTCTCCCTTTCTCAAACTAAATAAATGAAATCTTAAAAAAAAAGAAGAAGAAGAAAATTCTGCATTGGTCCAAAGTGGAAACAAAAAAAACTTTCCATCTTATATCAGAGAAAGGGCTAAAAGACAGTTTTTGGGTAGAGCTGGAGTAGCTGAATAATTAAAAGAATAGAAGCCCTGTTTTTCCATTTAACGTGAGCAAAGACAAATGGCCTTTGCCTTCTTTTTTTCACATATGCTTTGTCACCATGGAAGTTCTCTCTGCTGGAGGATGGGGCCAGTATTTTCTGAACTTTGAAACAGAAGAGGGATTTTTCTAGGACTATGCAGAGACATATGGGATAATAATTTTCAACAACATCTATTACTGAGCTTATAGGAACATTATAGGAACTATATAACCTTCTCCTGTAGCACATTGCAAACTCTTGTGTATGTCTGCTTATCACGTGTTCTACTAGACTTTCAGCAACCTCCTATTGAATGTTAAGGTTCCAAAAGGAACCATATATTCCACATACAGTATCTCCTTCATTCATTCAATAAACATTAGTTCTCTATTATGAGTGAGTTTCTGGTGTAGATGCTACAGGTCTTAGGATAAGGGTGCTGCCAGAAAAAAAAAGAAACAAACAAAAAAACAAAGAAAAGATTAAGACTCTGCAGTATCCAGTGGACATTCTTTTATCAAGCCCCCTTCCTGCAAACAGGGCCCAGATGTAGATTAAATTATACATTTAAAATAAACCCCTTAATGTTAAAGCAAGGCTATGGCATAGCCAGATGGATACCTTTTTGTTATACGTGTAAGGGTTTGATACTATTTTAGATGAATCAGCTGCTCATCCCTCTACCATAAGGGATGGAAGGATGAGTATTCTTCTATGGCAAAATCTAACTTAAAAAAACAACTTGGGAGGTTCCTCAGGTGAGAAACATGGACCTGCTATGATTCTATTGTTGGAATTTTACTAAATTTGATGGTAAAGAACAGAAATTGCTACTTGTGTTTGCTACTTGTGGTTGTCTTTGAAGCAGAGAACTACGCATGTGCAGATTTTCATAGGAGATAGGGCTGTGCAAGAGCAAGTGGGGCGGGCGGTGAAGTCTGGAAGAGCTGCAGTGAAGCCTGAGCCCCAGGGAAGCAGTGAGGAAGGAGAGTGCACTGCCCTGACCTCCGACCTCCGCAGCCTCAGGAAGCTTGGCAAGAAGGCCGTTGGGGGCAGGGGGGGCAGGGGGAGAGTGGCAACAGTGTCGGCTTCAGACACGTCGTCCTGTCTGTCCTGGGAGCCAGCCTGCGGTAGTGCTCCTGACATGTTCAGTCATCGGAGCAGCAGAACGTGGGGGTGCCTTTCAGGACACGGCAGCTGGGGCAGCCTTGTGGATGGCCACAACCTGTATTTTTACCACAGTCACACCCTTGTGTGTGGACATTCTCCTCCTTAGACAGATGTCATTAGATAGCCTCCAGGAAGGCAGTTTCTTCAGTGATGGGGAGGTAACTCGTCCTCCAGGGCAGCACTGCCAGGGCCTTGGTGAATGACCCAGCACCACCTACGGTGTTTCAGGCTAAAACTTCCTCTCCCATCTCTTCCATGTTCCTCAGGACCACATAACGAGGTCTCCATGGATCTCTGGCTCAGCTTGTAGAGGAAAACCCCAGTGGTTCCGAGTGCAAGCATCTTATGGCCTCTTTTTCCATGAAAGCAGGATAGAATACATCCTGACAAGAATTCTGACTAGAGGCTATGATACTTTGTATTAAAACTTTAGCATTGCCAACTCCTTGCCCAGTTTCTAGAATCTGTCCTTAATGATCAGAATAAGACACTCTGATTCCAGGCCCTGAGCCAAAAAAAAGTAGCTTCTGGAGCCATTTAACAGCCAACTCCTATCAAAATCTCCATCAGGGATACCACGGTAGCTCAATTGGAGTGGAGTGTCCAAGTCTTGATCTGGGCTCAGGTCTTGATCTCAAGGTGGTGAGCTCAAGCCCACACTGGGTTCCATGCTGGGCATGGAGTCTAGTTAAAAATAAAAATCAAAAATCCCAATCAAAATGACTCTATTTGGGGAACATGATATAAGGTATAGTCTAAGGGATGCCTGGGTGGCTCAGCTGTTGAATGTCTGCCTTAGATTCAGGTCGTGATCCCGGGGTCCTGGGATCGAGTCCCACATTGGGCTCCCCATAGGACACCTGCTTCTCCCTCTGCCTGTGTCTCTGCCTCTCTCTCTCTCTCTCTCTCTCTCTCTCTCTCTCTCTGTGTGTGTGTGTGTGTGTGTGTGTCTCTCATGAATAAATAAATAAAATCTTTTAAAAAGGGGGGGGTATAGTCTAAGTGCTACAACAGCTACAACACCTGAATTCCACATTTGTCAAGCACTTTATAGATTTTACTTTTTTTTTTCTTTTTTAGATTTTACTTTTAATGTTACTCCTTTGACTTTTACTAAGGGTTACATTTGCCTGTAGTGTGAAAACACCAGTAAGGACAGGATACCACCCATTACAGTGCACCCTTCCTTCTGTGCAGAGTCTGCTCTCCAACATGCAGGGAGCTCTAGCACCCCTTTCTGAGAAGCTGTTCTGTCTCTTCATTTCATGTGATAAAAATTGGTAATTCTTCACATTTCATTCTCTGTTATGCGAGGAGGAGGACTGTCTCTGCTAAATCTGCATGGTCCAGTTATTTGCTTTGTTCCTTCTCATTCTGATTTGCCCTCCTTTATTCCTACCTTATTAGTTTTGGGGTTTTTAGAAGCTACCCTAAATCATTTCATAGAGAGGCAGGAAAATTCCAAACTAAAATTATACATATTTATGGAATAGCACTTTTCTGTGCCTAAAAAAAAAAAATGAAACAAAATGACAACCACAAGCTCTCTTTGTAATGGAAAGCCCTATTTTTCCCCCTCTGCACTCAATATTTTACTTCTGGCTACCAGATATGGGGAGTTTTCTTAATTTTCTATGATTCACAGCAAACACCAACTGGATGTCCTACAATCTAACTTAATTCTGACACCATCTACCTGGAGATAGTATCAGATCCCACAGGTTAAGGGCTCAGTTCCCACAAGTTCTCATGACTGACCCCTTCCTTGGGTTTGATCATTTGACTGGCTCACAGAACTCAAGGGAACATTGACTTACATTTACCGATTTTTTTATAAAAAGATGCAACTGAGGAAGAGCCAGATGGAAGAGATGTATCGGGTGAGGTATGAGGGAAGGGTGAGGAGCTTCCATGCTTCTCCGGCTATGTTACCTTACCAACACTTCCAGCGTTGGCCACCCTGGAAGCTCAACATCTTGTCTGTCATTCAAGACTTTTTATAGCCCACCCAGCCCACCCCTCCCACTGCTTCCCAGGTCCAACCCTCTAATCACTTGCTCCTGAAAGATCTACCCTCTTCTGAGGCTTTCTAGGGGCCCCACTCTAAGTTACCTCATTCACATAAATTCAGGCAGGATGAGACGGGTGCATGATAAATAACTGAAGGCATGCCTATCACGTTTTAGGAGCTAGGAACCTGGATAGAGACCACATATATTTCTTAGATCTCACCTCTCCATGGTCTAAGTGTCACTGTAATTCTTTTATCTTCAAAATCTCAGCACCAAAGGTAAGCCTAACATAATTGCCTGATGACATTTCAGCTTTTCTCCCAGGTTAGAAAGATCATGGGCAGGAATGTCACGTGATAATTTGAGAGACATAGAAGGCAGTAGAAGGACCCTCACAAACACACATCTTTGCAGAGTCCTTATAAGATGCAATTTGTTTATGGAGATGTAAGGGAATCCATGTTTTGGAATAGAAGCTTAGGGAAACGTTTTTAGTATGTTCTTTAATACTCTCTCACACCAAGTGTATGGTATCTTTTCCAACACTGATCAATTCTCCAATTCTCACACCACATGGAGTTGGTATCAAATCCTACAAGTTAAAGGGCTCAGCCCCGCAAAACCACCCCTATTTCATATGCAAGCTGCAAAGAGGGTGCCCAGCCACCTATCCAGGTTCCTAGAACTCACACTTCTGCCCAGCCAACTACAAATTTGTGAATTTCCACAACTCCGAGCAGGTTTGATAAGTGACTAGATAAAGAAGTATATAGGTTAAGGTGCAGAGGACTCCCAAGT